AAATTTGTACGCAGGCTCATTTTCATGTCTACAGTTGGTCAGGCAAAGGGGAACTGCTTCAGCTTCTGGTGATTGGAGGACTTCCTCTCACAGGGAGCTAAATTTCTTGTTTTATAAAACCAATCTCTATGTGTCCAGCTGGAAATGAAAAAATAGTTTCATTCTAAAAATAAAATTGAGAAAAAGCATTTAAGGTGTTGCTGATCTTTGAGTAGAAACGGAATGCAGCAATAGGCTTTCTTAGCAGATATTCTCTTTGTTTTTCCCACTGCACCATATTACACACAGTCATACAGCCTCGTAACTATGAAGTAAAATTATTTCCAAAGAAGTAATGAGTTTTCTATTGTAATGTAGCAGTTAGGGTTTGTGAAACAATGCTGTGCGTCCGCTAATTATAGGCAGCTCTATTTACATGGCCTAACAGGAAGATGGAAATGTAAAAATAGCAACAAAGAGCCAATGACATTATTAATAAAGCAGCTGTACACTGCATTGTTCTCCCGAAGAAAGTAGACACCATTTAAACAAAGTGCTCTACATAAATAATCAGTCCTAATTCATAAGTAACCACGGTTAGGAATTCACATTTAAAAATAGTTCACCTTATTAATGTTCAAAGAGGGCAGGGTGACTTTCTTTGTGAGTGGGTGTGTTTAACTTGTGCACGGGCACCAAATCTGAAAAATAATGTACACAAATCATTGCTTTGGGAAACCAGTATTTTTCTAGCCCAGGGAGCTTGAACTTTTTTAGAGGATGAAGGGAGAGAGGAAGATCAAGTATTATAAAGCTTCTTCTTATGGAAAAGTCTGTATGCAGAAAAAGAGTTAAGGGCAAGGTAGAAGAACAAAAAAATACCTCAAGCTTTTTTCATTTATATGAAACAAAAGAACAAAACTTCCTACCGTTATGGTCCTGAAGAAACAATGATATACTAATAAAAATAATGACAATAAATAGCTATAATGGGGAAAACACAATGTTCAGGCAGACATATATGGTCATCTGTTTTCTAAGCTCAAAATTCACTTATGAGCTTTTTTTCCTTGTTTAAATCATAATAAAAGAGAACAAGAAAAGGAGATTTCTGGCATTTAGAGATTACTGAAGCTAACAGTCTTTCATTCTAATTTTTCTGAGGAAGGGTTGTCATTTCCTTAGAATGCACTTCCTGATAGCACCAAAGACAAACATGCACTCAGTGTATGCAACAAGCTAAGCCTGCACACTCACTTGTATGGGTGCTTTATATAGGAGACATAACGCCAGAGCACCGGGGCTGTACCATGGTCTTTAACACTGGAAGTATATCTTGACTACTTGCCTTTAAAGTCTGCAGCCTCTCTCAGAAAAACTCCTGTATCTTTGTGAACTAATGTTAAAAAACAATAAATTAGCACAAACAAAAGGTAGTATGTTGAGCTTGGCATCCAAAAAATCCCAACTGAAAATCTGCTTTTGGAGGAAGGTGGGGGCAGACCCTATCCTGCAGTTATAAATGCACTGGTACTCCTGAAACCCTTTCTGTCTCAAGATGAGATTTTGCATCCGCAGAAATTCCCTGCCTTGTCGAATCTCAACTTCAAATCTCAAAACAGGAATTAAAAAACAACGTGACAGTACGGTGTCCCAGTTTTTGTGCTTAGGTTTGTTTTGAACCTTAAATTGCAGCAAGGAAACCCTGCAAGGCTGTTTTAACTTCTTCCGCGTAAGTACTTGATGTTTGCTACTGATGTCAGCTCTCAAATCTGTAATATCTATAATTTCGTACAGATATTTTTAAATTAATATCAGCATGGAGATGTTCAGGCGTCACACGGATTTGATGATAGAACTCGTGAGAAATCAGCTCCATGAATTATCCTTATGGCTCACATGAGCTGCGTTTTTCCTTCTGTACTGCTTGTATGGGACCAGGGCAATTTAAAAGACCTATTTGTGAACGTTATTCCTCAGAGAAATCAGCTACAGCTTCTACTCAGAGCTCCAAAATGCATTAATATTTGCATGTTAAATACAAGAACACTTAACCTTGTTGTTTTGCCTATTCTGATGGTTTATAATAAGAGTTTTAGAAAGAAAAAATGATCAAAGCATGGCACTTATCTGCTAGTTTTAAAACTGAAGGTGTTTGGATCATCAAGTGTGCTGTTTCTTAAGAAGCACAAAAGGAACCTTTAGGAAACAGAGGAATATCAGTGCCTTCCAGTAGTGTGTGTTTCTTTGTGACTGTTTTGCTTTAGAACTTTGAAGTTCATACTCAAAAACATCACCAAGTGAAAATTCCTTCCTAGAACACCTGAAAAAGCAAATCCTTTCGTGTTTGGATCTAATATACTCTTACATTTTTTGTGTCTGCTGTTGAAGGGCAAAGCACGGCAGGAATTGCAGTGAACAATGCCTGGAGACGCGCGATGCCGTCAGCTGCAGCCCGTGGCGTTGGCCCTAGCAGCACCGCTTCTCCCAGCACTGTCAGGAAGCTGCGCAGACTGTAAAAGGTGAATTTCACATCAGAGGCATTAGTGAACAATAGGAAGGTGTTTCTCATGGACGTGAAGGTGGTGCCATACAGGAAGAGGGAGCAGCGCCTTCCCTTTTATTCCCATCTATCATGATTGCTGGAGAGGAGGCCAGGCAGTCTCCTTGGCCGAGGTCAGGTTTAGAGATTAAGCACTGTGGAGGTCATTGCCTTCCCACTGTTTCACCGAGTGCCCTTCTAGAGAAGTAAGTGCTTTTTAAGGCAGGCTGCTTGTCTGCAGTAAGGTTTTGCACCACCCCTCTTTATTTTTGCATTAAACCGTGCCACTGATGGAGCGGCTGATAGCACGAAGCAGTGCTTTGCTGGTCAAATGCAACACCTCTGTGTGCCTTAGGAGAGAAGCTGACCTCCGGTCTTTCTCCTGACTGACCTGGGAAAGATCCATCATGCTGTCTCCTGCATAAAAATGTATTTTTGTCAAATAAAGGAGCATTGTCATCAAAGACCTGGCTGCTTCTATAGATAAAATGATAGCTAGCAAGAATGTTACGAGTTAATTAATGCATGTGTAATGCATGGCAAAGTGCATTACCTGTATAAACCCTGTGTGTGTCATTCCTCAGGCAAAACATAAGTGTTAAGCTGGGATTTACAGGCATTGGTAGGCAACTGGTAAGCAGATGTGCGCTCCCAAATGCAGCCCACAAAAACCTTAAAGCCTTTAATGTGGAAAGTGCCCTGGGACATGGACCAATCTTTATGCTTTGTACACATTTTAATGACTTGTTAATGATCAACCAGAGTTCTGCTGAGACGATAGATTTGGTAAAGGTATCTTTCAGGCCAGTTTTTTTGCTAGTGTGTGAGGTCATTCCTCATAGCCCTACATTAAAAAAAACATGTTGTGTTGATGTGTTGTGTGGCTGTCTCATCCTAGTCTGCCAAAACTTCTGCAGCTTCCAGCGCTCAGTTGCCAGGGTATCCTGCAGGGAAGCAAAGCCAATTAAACCAGCAGCGCATCATGGTGGTTGTAATGGATAGGATCATTGGGCTGTTTGATCTGCTAATCTGTCTCTAATAATCAGTAATATTGGAAACCTATGAGGGAGTGTGAGAAGGGGAGCTCACAGAGCAAGAGCCTTCCATGGTAGTTTAGTGACTTCTGACAAGTTGTGCATGTAGGAATTTCCAGAGCTGAGAGTTGTGTGTTGAATGTCATGTATACAGGTAATAGCCATGGGCTAGCCTGGCTTCTAGGAGTTTGTATGTTTTCTAAAACTCTCTTATTTCTGATTTCCATTATATCCTGTGACAGTGAATTCCACAATTTGGCTATTTATCAGATTTTGGTTTTTTGTTACTGTTGGGTTGTGTTATTTTGTTTGTTTTCTGTTTTATTTGCAATACCACTTCTGCTTGTTTTTTCAGCTTTCTATCTGATAGTTTAGCTGGCTGCTTCTTCTGTTGTGAGGCCTAGCCCACTCCTTGCTCCCTTTATGCCACCCAGCACTGCAGACTTCTGTCACATCCTCCTTCTGTCTCGAACAGAAAATTAGAAGTCATCTTTTTCCAGCTTTAAATTTCATTTCTTGCAGGAGCCATTCTTGGTGCCTTGCTTAAGCCTACTGAATCATTTTAGAAATGGGAGAGAGGGATGAACAGTGTCATCTGAAATCTGGGAAGAAAACTCTCTGATTTCAGCGTGGTGTTAGAAAGTGGTATTCCCTTATTCCTCACAGTATGTACCAGGAGACAACAAATCAAGCACGCGCTCGCAGAGTTCAAGTTCTACATTTAAACAGTTAAGACATACAAATATAATACATTGACATACATATTCTTTCTTCTTCAAGAACTCATTAATATATGCCAGTATCCTTCTGGGCATGCACAGTTGTATCTAAGGTAACCGTACGACCAACTTCTTCCTCCCCTTTATTTCTCTATCAGCTTCATCACAGTGACATTTGGCTGGCCTTTTGCTGTTTTTCCCCAGTTTGGCAAATTTCCATTACTTCTTAGGCCATATGAGCAACTTTCTATCGTAGTGCACTCTAATTCAAAACAGTATATGTGAAATCCAAGGAAGAAGTCCATGTACCAGCAAAGATAAAAGTCGTCTATTGTGACTCCAGTGTTCCTGTGAAGCAGAATCGTTGAGAAAAATAAGGCTGTTCACACACCAAGCAGTTACAATGGAAAGTTTTAGAACAAGCACTCATTGATTCCTTTTGCTAAACCAGTATATTGGTCCTTAAACTTAAATACTGATCCCTACTGCTAAACCAGCCTGTATCAACAGGACATTTCCAATGTGCAGGTACACTACTGATTTGTAAAGAACAGTGAGGTGTACTATTTGTTGGAGTTTTTGTTATTCTATTCAATTTCTAACAGTTTCTAATGCTTTTTTTTTTTTTTTTTTTTTTTTTTTTTTTGCTTTTTTTTGGATTACATGGAAAAAATTATAACCCAAGCTCAATTTTTTGTTTTGTCTATTTATGATATATAATATTTATGAATATTCACTATCCTGCCTCCAATAATTTTTCCACAAAAAAAATGTCTTGGTAAATGTAGCAAACCCTTTTTTATTTGCACAAATTTGATGGTTATGGGATGGGATGTGTTTTCCAGAGAACATCTTCAGTTGTTTTCATTCACTCTTTCTTTTTGGTCTGCATGAGCGGCGTTAGCTCCAGTCTCACACATTCCTTGCATGTTTCTCAGATGAAGCAAGAGCTCGGTATTGTAGTGTGCTGCTGGGATGGACAGGACAATTTCTTTACTCTGCCCCTCCTGAGTTCTTTTCCTCAGCTGTTGGTTGCAGTGAGCTGTAGCACCATATTGTAGGTTCTTCATATATGAGTTGATGAGTTGCAGCAGAGTCAGTGATCTCATCTATGAAGGTGAGAACAGGAGTGCCATGTGATTTATTCATCTGAGTTGGCATCTTAAATCAACATTAAATCGGGGTGTGCTGAGGTCCTATTGATTTTATGCCCAGTAAGTGCTGCAGCATAGCAACACCCATTCTGTTCAGAAGAGTGTTTCCAACTTGATGCTTTATGTGCCAGCCAGTGTGTGCTTCCCTCTCGCAGTTCCTCCCAGTGAGACTTTACAGTTTCTTGGGCACTCTTGCAAGGTGGCTCATCCTCATGCTGTAATGTCAATCCCATATCCTTATTTACACATTTACTCAGCTTTAGCTAAGTAAGTACATCTTCACCATGTGACTGATCTGGCCAATGAGCAACATATACTAATTATCAGAACTGGCTCTTCTCTACTGACTCAGGTGTGAGCAGGTCTGGCCCTTGTTCTGTAGATGAAGGTGGTTTGGGGCTCTTTCCTAGGGAATTGGAGCTACTGACGGAAGACTTCCTTGCTGTTTGGAGCTGTGGGAAAGCCATTAGAGGTCTGTCTGTCTGTTCTTGAAGGTCTTTGAGTTCTCAATGCGAAATGACCATCCCACCCTCCCTATTGAATGAAATCTCCTCCAGTGAGCATCAGTTTAAACAATTTCAATCCTGGATCTACAGGTTTTCTGTGTGGTTTGTAGGAAGGTTTGGCCTAAGCTCCTAAGTAAGAGTTCACTGTAGGGAAAACATACTTCTGGAGCATGTTTGGACACTTTCCACATCCCATGATTTCCTTTCTAGTGAAAGCTGTCCTAAAAAACAACTCTGTGAGAGATTTCTACTTTCCAGTAATGGTGAGTGTTGCCAGCATTTCAAGCCCTCACTTTCACGAGGGGTGCTTGCTGTTGCTGCTATGGAGCCAAAAGTGTGACAGAAAGTTTGAAGATTGCGTAAAAATAATATTAAAACTAATCTGACAGTTTTCAGAAATTTCTTTAGAAGGGGCTCAATTTTCCACCTTTTTGTTATGAATAGAAACATTTTCAAACATAGGACAGAGTTCCATAGCTAAGGCCAAGTTTGATGCTTAAGAGCGGTACTTCATAAATCATAAAATACTTTCTGCGTGTGTCCATTATGACCAGTTGGATGTTTCTGCAAGGACTGTGGCTTTCTGAATTCTGTTAGGAATGACAAGCCCTGAAAAACTCTCAACAGAAACACAGCAGCCTGTTTTCATTTGATGTACAACCTGTGAAACTATAGGAATTCAAAGGATTTTTGTCTATAGAAGCAGAGTTTATTGCACAGAGCTGTCACAAAAGAAGACAGCCTGGGTGGACTTCAGACCTTTCCTTCACTGAGGAGATCTCAGCAAAATAAATACTTCCAATGCAGTGTTATCAGTAACAAGAAGGGCAGTGACTGGCTGATGTCAACCTGATGTAGTGTTTCATGTTAAAAAAGTGCTTGCAACTGAAACAGACATAAGTCAGGCTAAGACAGTGTATTGCTTAGATTATTACAAAGTACAAGAATTAACATGGGCTTGACATTTCAAAGGTAGTTCAGCAAGGCTCTTGCATTTCTGTAAAATGTAGCCAAATATGAGTCACCTTTTCTTCTGACCAAACACAAAACAAGATTTGCCAGCATTAAGCTAAAGCGATTGTTGAGCTGTACTTCAGTCTGGACAGGAATTTCATTTATCTGCTGTTCGTGTGCTTTCACCACATTTTTTTCTTAGTCTTTCTTCCTCCATGGACTCTAAAATATGATTTTAAAATACAAGTGTTGTTTTTTTCCTTTTTTTTCTGTAAGTAAAACAAATAAATGAGCCCCATTTTGAGTAGTTTGTAGCTGAATTTACATTTGGTTTTGTTGTTGTGTGCATTATGGTCAGTATGGAATTAAACTATCAAAGTCATTCTGCATGCTCTCTAATTGACTGAAAGCTCTGTCATACTGTTCCATATGACTCAACCAAGCTCTTGGCTTTATTTGAGAGCACACTTCCAGGCTGCTGCGTTTGGATACTGGATGCAAATGGCACCCTTAGTATTAGGGGGCCCTGAGAGTAATTTCGGTATCTTGCTCCATCTCTTCCCCACCACCATTCTTTATCTTTGGACAGGTGATTCTTGGGCAGGGAAATCAATCGCCCGCTGCCAGTGGTCATCTGGAACGCATGAGGGATCATGAAACGTTTTTCTACAAAAGCAGTGGCTTTTCTCCCTCTAGTGGCAGTGGACAGAATTGATGGATATGGCTTCATGTATTGTGTGGGAGCTCAAAAACCCCAATTAAAGAGATTGTTTAAATGCAGTGCAAACACTTATTTCATGTAGTCCTGGCAAGAAGAAAAAAAATCATTCTGCATCCATCAAGTATAGGGCAAATAAATCTTCCTATTATGATAACTGACTGTCCTGGCTATATTTTATAGGAACAATAGGGAAGGAATACCCTTTTTTCTCCTTTTTTTCTCTTTCATTATCTTTTCACCCTACCTCCCTTCTGGGACAGTTTGAGTCAGGGTATTCGATCCTTCATTTTGGTGTGCAAGAAGTGTTTGTGCTCTCCTTGCTTGCAGACTCCCTGGTTGGTTTTTTTTTGCAGGCTGAGAGTAGCCTAGGGAAGAAAAGGCTGAGGGTGAGACATTCATAGGCTGCTGAGGTAGCTCCTAGATTGTGATTTAAGAGTGAAATAAAGATGTGCAGTAATATAGAGTGGTTTCTCTTTGTTCTGGTAGTAAATCTGCTTTCTTAGGAAGGAGATGCAAGACGTCTTGCTTTCTGTTTGCTGGAGCCTGTCCATATTTAGGTGCCTTGAGTATGGAAGAAAACTGTTTCTGCAAATGCACGTCTCTCCTCCTGTCATTTCCATCTCAGCCAGTAGCAATGCTGCATAAATCCTACAATACTTAGGCATACGGCTAACCGAAATGGTCTTGGAAAGCATCTCTAGGATAAATACAGAAAGCTTCAGGCAAGCATGCCACATAGTTTTTACTTCATGAAATGAGACAGGCCTGGGGTTTTTCTCCCTGCCAGTTCTACCACAGTGAGCCTTCTTTTTTCTTTGAAAGGGATGCATATGCTGTTGTAAAACTGTGTTACTGTGTTAACCAGTCGGGATGAACACTGCAGATTTGCAACATTAACATCACCAGAACAGTGTCACAGAAAACATCATGGGCTTTTAGAATATAGTTTGCAAGTACAAACTCAGTTCTGCAGTTTTCAGGCTGCCTCTGAAAGCGAAACCAGATGCACAGATTGAAGCTCACTCTTATTTCTTGCTTGCTTGTACCAGCAACATGAGACGAGATGCATCTCATCTGCTAGGCTAAAAGCCTCTGTTTTTCACATCTCTATGTGGTCTGATACTTCTGAAGTTCTTAGCACTGCAGATAAATTATGGCACTTATTTAAGAGTTTGAATATGCAATTAAGCATCTAATTTTAAACTTGCACGCTCAATAATATTGGACTTTGCTACAGAATTATTTCCTTTTTATGGTGTCTGCCAACTGCTGAAGTATGCATTAGTATATTTGACATATTAATGCAGTAATGGAGATACCTGGGCAACTGGCAGCCAAATAATTACAAAAGAGATATCCAAGGTGAAATCATAGACTGCAATGAACAAGGGAAAACTGTTTGCCTTTATGATTTACTGATGAGTAAAATCTCCCACCCAACCTGAAATATCAGACCCAGCTGCAGAAGCCCCGCTAGCCTGATAAGCCAGCACCCCCCGCCATCAGCTGCCACATGCATTGTTTTCTTCTTTCTTCTTGATGTTTGTTCTTCCTTTTCTCAAAGTCTTTTTGACAGCCTCACAGTATGCTCCTATAACTCTAGATAAGCATATTCTGACCGGTCAGTAAATGAAACACTTAGCTATTAGCAATCCACTGTAGCATTATGAGATCTGGGCCTTTCCCAGTTACTGAATGGAGCTCTCCTTGTCTTCTGGCCAGTCTGTAGCCATGAAGCTAGTTGTGTACACACTGAGTGGCTGTGAGCATTCCTCAGGTACTGCAGCTGGTCTCTGCTTTACAGTGTTGCTTACCTGTCACTCATTTGCCACGTTCTGTGCACTAGGAGCAGATTGAGATGCCATTTGGATGTAGCCATAGCCCTTATTCCCAGCAGGGAGGCTCGTTACTAAATCAGCAGAAGTGGTATTCTCGGTTCCATCAGATGCACGAGTGTCATCCACTTTGTACTGATCTGTTGAACAGCAAACATGTAATGTAAGGGACAATCAAAACACTAGGAGACAGGCTTTTACACCACAGAAGCCATCTCAGTATTTAACATGCTGAAAAGACAAGCTAATAATGAAAGACTTGTCTAGCTGTCTCTGTTCCTTTGACACCTGAGGTGTTTTGTAGGTACTGTCGGCCAGCGTGAACTTTAAATCAATTTATTGCATGTGTTTACATCAGCAATAAAACTGTTTGCCATATCATTTAACTACACAGAGAGTGAATTGTTGACCATGAGCTGGTCTGACCTTTTCAGATCTAATCAAGAAATCTGAAATATTATTTCAGCCTGTCAGCTCCAGTAATATGCGGTAAGAGTATCTGGATCTAACTGAAAATGTCAGGGGCACTCTAATATGCAACCCATCAAAGTTACGCTGCATATGAACCAAGAACTGGTAAAGAATATAAATCTGAGAAAGCCATGGTGCATCTCAGTTGCTTAGACAAATTGGTCTGCCACTGACGCAGGCGAGCTACAAACACACATTAAAAGCAGTTCTTTGAGATACAAGCAAGATGTATGGCTGTTTCAATATTAAAGTGTTCTTGAAAGACAGAGAGTAATCACAGGTTAGAGTTTTGCTGGAAGAAAGTTAACTGAGAATACTACCACTGCTGTGGTCCACATCTGAATAGTTGCACTGTGCAGTTGTGTAGGTTTAGTGGTCTTGTGTAACTTTGGGATTTTCTTTTTTAATAACTTGCTGCTTGCAAAGTTTTTACCATTTTCAGAAATAATGGTTGCCTATGCTGAGGTGTTCTGACCAATCTCATTTGTGCTGAAGTTAGTTATCTGTTACACTGCTCTACTGAAGTTATCTGGCTGTTTTTAAAGCTCACTCAGAAACCACACTGTTGTTCTTAGGTGTTTAATGACGTTACATTTCTCTGTTTTCTTTGTCTCCCAAGTTTCCTTTGATGGTGTTGTACCGGCAACTCAGAGAGAGGATAAATCTGTCTTTAATAGCTGTTTATTAAGCATGAGACCAATTATTCATTGATATAATTTATGGATAATGAATTTAAATTTGGGTTAATGAGCATGGGCACAACAGGAAGCATCTTTGTATTACAAGAAAAGGGCATTTTGTGAGCTAAATGGCCTATCGCGATTGTATAATCTGAAAGCAGTTGCTGCACTAAAATTGAGTTGGTTTTTAATCTAATCATGTATAGTTTGTGTAATTTAAGGCATTATTAACCGAATTGCTGCTATTAGTGAAATGTGGTTGGAATGGAACTAGAATTAGAGTGAACTGTCAGAAGCATTGCTGAGCCGGTAACTTTGTATTTTAGACTATCCTGTTAATGCCAGCAGAACTGTTCTTGTGAGGCAATGCTGCCCTCACCTGGTATCTGGAATGAATTGGGAATTGTTAGCCCAGCCCAAGCCAGCTGTAGTGCATCAAATCTATCAGGTCTCCCCTGAGCCTCCTCTTCTCCAGACTGAACAATCCCAGTTCTCTCGGTCACTCCCCATAAAATTTCTGCTCCAGATAGTGCTAAGCTGGAAAAAAATGGTGAAAGAAATTAAAATCCTTAAAATACCATTTTGTGTTTTTTTTTTTTTCTATTAAAAAGACAAAAAGATTGTACAGTTTTGTGGTTCTTTTAGGAGTACATGGTGTAGAAGTGGATGAAAATAGGAATATTATGTGGGAATATACTGTGAATGCCCAAGACAACAAATTGAAGGCTGATTTTTGTTTGTCTGGCAGTTTGGAAGATGAACTGAAGACAAAGTAAATAGGTGTCAGCTGCTAAAAGTTAGCTGGACAGATTGTAGTAAACTCTTGTTTAACAGGATAGTTTTATCTCGTATGTAATGTTTAGAAATGTATCGTTATGAATACACACAGAATTCTGCAATTGCAGAGTAAATGGTACCATGGCCAACAAGTTGCGTGGGAATGGGGCCGGCACTGATGCAGATGGAGCTATGGCAGAACTGCCCTCCCAAGGGCTACAAGGATATCACTTTGGCTCAGGAAGGCTCTCCACAGCAGCTTCCTGAAAGCCTGGGAGACAGACCATGGAAATGCTACTGCCGTGTCATCTATTCTTATGTACTTTTTCAGGCATCTGTCACTAACCACTGCCAGAGACAAGATATTGACATAGAAGGTTTCCTAGTCTGTTTTGCTCTGGATGTTGTCTGTTTAATAAGTGCTGTTTTCTTCAATTTTGTCTTCCTCTCACTTATCTCTGCTAGGCAATTTCACCATAGTCCAGATAGCAAAAAGAGGTGAGCCTTATTTCAAACAAAAGGATTTTAGTTCCCAAAACAGATTGCAGTAAAATGCTTTTAAATATATAAATACATGAAAGGTTTAAAATAAAAAATTATTTAATATTTCATAACCTCTGGAGACCTTGTAAAACACACAGCTTTTCTCCCCTTGGCAAATCTCTTTGTCATCCATTTGGCTTCTGATTTGTTTGCATCTCCCTTAATGCACTGGAGATCAGCTAACCCTAGAGGAAACAGAAGACTGCATGTTAAAATCCCCGGCTGATGTATTTTGTTTGAGTCAGACGTGAACAGATTGCCAGGTTCAGGATCAAGAGGAAAGGTTCTTTCCCCATACTGATGGATTAGGATTTCTGCTTCTTATGGCCGATCACTTTGGAAATGCTTCAAGAACTGTGGCATACAATAATATACCCAACCTGGTCCAGCAGAGCATTACAGGTGGCTGTTGATATTGTACTGCTCCCTCTATTATAAGGTCCTGAGACTCGTTTTACATCTGTAGTGCTTGACACTCCACAGAGTTTCTGTTTTATGAACCATTTTGACCTAGACCCCAAGTGCTTGGTTACCCATGATTGTAGCAGGTGGGACCTGAAGGTCCCGGCAGTCCTTCACAGGCTTCTTGCTGACCGCAGAGTAATGCATGTAAGCTAGTAGGCTAGAATTCAAACACAGTTATCTATGATGTTTTCTCAGTTTGTTTTTTAAATATTATTTAAAATGAGCAATACTTTTGAGATCTAGCTGTAAAACCACCACAGGTATGGTCTCATAATAGAGAAAGGTTGGCTAAGTCAAGACTGAGATGCATCATTTCTGCCCTTCTTTTTGCAACCTCCTGCTGCAGCAAAACCAGTTTTATTTGTTCTTCCTTTTTGTTAGATTAGTATTACATGTGGTTTTGTTAGATTACTGTTGTATGTAGGTAGATCAGTACAGCACCCCAGCTCTGCTCATGAGATGACTATGTGGTTGGCAGTGGTGGTGTTCTTTGACCTAGCACAAATATAAGAAGTCTAAGACTGTGTAACTGATTTCTTTCTTCTCCATAATTTTGCAGATATTAGGGCTGCTGGTGTGGACTCTGATCGCTGGAACAGAATACTTCCTATATCCAGCCTTTGGCTGGGTGATGTTTGTAGCTGTGTTTTACTGGGTCCTCACTGTCTTCTTTCTGATCATCTACATGACCATGACCTACACCAGGATCCCCCAGGTGCCATGGACCACAGTGGTAAATACATCTGCTCATTGTTGTTTTGGATTTGCTGGGTTGTGAAGAGAATAAAATACTGATGCATTCTACAGCTGCAGTTACCCAGTCGTACTGGTGCTTTTTGCAGTTTTTTCCCCCTGATTTCTGTCTCTGCATCCCTGCAGTGTTTAACCTTCATTCTACTCAGACAGTGCTACCCTTTTAAAGTACTTTTCTTGTGATGTTTCACTGTTTTGTTCATCGATCGATTTAGTGACTTGATTTTTAATAATGTGTGTGTGACTCATATTTATGCACAGTGGCCCATTTTTCACCCTTGAGTGATTACATCCCACGAAGAATGAATCTGTCGCTGCATTTGAGCTAACAGATTTAGTTGTATGGCTTAAACAGTGGGAATCCCTACAGGAATCAACACCACGAGTTGGAAATGGTACCATGGATCTTAAAGCATGAGTCTACCTCTGCTAAATGAAAATAAAATGTTGCTTAGAGAGGAAGCAGCAGTCTCACTAGCCATGTACAGCTAGAGTGAAAATGGTGCTGCAAATTATTAGTGTTATATGTATGTAAAATACCTGCCATGTAATCCTTTGCTTTTAGCTCAAGACTAAATGAAAATTAAGTGAACAACTAATGTAATTGGAGAAAAAATTCACAGGTATTTGAAATTCAGGTCTAAGTTTTGTTATTTAAAGAAATCCTGCTAGTTATACAAATGAGTGTTATATATGTGTGTGATTTTTGTAACATGCTGATTTTCAAGAGAATAGATGCTAAATGACATTGTCACATAAGCCAACTGGCTATTTGTAACCCATACAGCAAATAACATAAATTTGGTTTTGCATTTGTTTGATACAGTGAAATACTGCTTTTCTCTCTTTTTCTACTAGATAAGGGCTATTAGTGAGAATTCTGCTGTTTTTATGATAAAATATATTTGACTTCTGTGTTGCAAACAGTGTATGTGACTAAAATTGAATACACTTTTCACCTTCCCTTTTGTTGCTGTAATAAATAGCTAGCTATAGCAATTACTAATAACAGCAACAAGGATTATGCTCAGATAGCTTCTCTGTTTTCAAGTTTCACGACCAGCAATTACCTTGACGGCTATAACAGCGCTATAGAAATGTTGGATTATTTCAATTACAGCAGTAATGTGTCTGGGTATGGTTAGAAGTGCGTGTTGTTTTTTTTTCCTTCCCGATTCCATTAAGTGTAAGTAAAGTACATTCAAAAGGAAAACATCTTTGTATCCATTTTCTTACAATTTTAGTTATTACCCTTCTTTTATCAGTTCAACACTATTACCAGGCAACTGCTGCAAGTAAATGAGTTGCCCCTGATGTGTGTGGCAGGCAAGCTGCAGTTCTTGATTAATTTCTGCTTGAAACTGAATATATTTCTTGCTCTGAGTTCCAAATGTATGGTAGATAAGATCACCCAAATGTAGGTCCAAAAGGTACTCTCCCTCTGTGGTACAAGATAATTTGAAGAGAAAATGCAAAACAAACCACAGATGCTTGGATTTCAGCTTCTTTTGCCCTGAGATATTGAAAGAGCTATTGGGAGCAGCCTGTGAATTGAACCTCTGCCACTCCTGGCTGGCCAACATGTTCAGAGAGATGTTTTTAATGTTTTCATTGAGGAGGTGTATAATCAATGGATATCAAGATGTTACAATCACAATATAATCAAGAGAGTGAGGCAAAGTGGACAATGATAACAAAAGAGAATAAATGGAAAGCTTACCCTTATGCTGGGCTCACCTACAAAACACCAGCAGAGGCAATCTCCAGAAGAGATCCTTCCCCACTGGTAGCCAGCTCTTAAATAGGTCTAGGAGGGATGCAGCCAGGCTCCACACCTTCTGGCAGCTCAGGTGAATTGCCTTCACCTGTGCTCCATGGCTGACTCAGTGCTCACCTCAGGTGATCAATCAGAGGTTCAGGCTGTGACTCAGCAGTTCCCATACAGGAGGGCATGACACACACCTCTTGAATGTCCCACCTTTTCAGAGAGTTTACAGCCACCTTCTCCCCATTCCCCAAAGTATCAGTCTTTGCTAATTATTGTTCTTCCTCCTTAGGCAATAGTTAGCTAAAGCTATGCCTATTGTATGCAGTATCCAAAGTTACATCTGGACTTCCCTGCCACAAACCGAGTTTTTGCAGGTTAAGCACGTTACCAAATTGCTTAAGATGCAGTTACTTTACTGCAAATTAACCCAAAGGATGTGCTTCAGAAGTGACTCTCCTTAATAGGGCCAGTTCTTTGCTAAAACAATCAATGGAAGCTTTTAAAATTGGGTAGATTTGAATTTAAGAAGCAGATGGTAATTTAGCATGAACCATTTGGTTTGAGTAATATATTGGCAGTAAACGGTCCAATCAGCTTGCATTGCATTCCATCTTCCCTAGCAGTGTTATTTCCCAAAGCAGCACTTCTAAAAAATTATGTGCTTTTTTTTCTACATGACAAGATATTGCAGGGATTTGTAGCTTTCCAAGGTAATTGAGTCTTTTTGGAAAGGGAAACTTAAAAATAACAACAACAAATATTCTAGGCAGTCAAGTTTGAAGTTGGAAAATCAGTGCATTGCAGAAGTTGTGCTTTCCACTTTTTTGGCACCCTATCCTAAAATTGACAGTTTGATATTTTATTACTGTAATACCTAGATAGAAGAGGTGATTTGTACAAGGAGATACTATATTTTATTAGATGAGCTGCTACAGGCGAGATAAAAGCCACTCACAAGTGTGTGAATAAAACCTCAAGTCCCTGTGCTGGGCTTCAGCCGAGTGCTGAGGCACTGCGCTGTGTTCTCTGCAGAAATGTAGGTAGGTGGGTCTTTTCCAAATGTCCTGAAGCTGCAAGGACTTAAAAACACAGGAGAATGTGAATTCTCTTCAGCTTGCATGAATTTGGTCAGACCTCTCATAAACTGAGTGGATAACAGATGACAGCACAGCATGCTGCTCTCTGGAAGGACTCGTAGCTGAGAAAGCAAGTTTCTGGGGAATGGCTTCCCCTCAGGAAGGTTTGAACCCTGTCTGTCATTAGAATGTGGGGCAGTGAGCCAGGCTCCACTGAGTCTGAATTGAGGTCTTTCTGAAGCAAAGGAGAAGGAGGTGAGGAGCTCCCACACCAATCACTCCAATGTGCTGACCTGTGTTTTGGTGCACTGAGGGAGTTGCTGAGACAGACACG